TAATTCTTCGTGAGTGGCCTTGGACTGCTTCTGAGCCACAACCAAGGCGTCTCTTAAACCTGATAATTCCCCTCTGAGCTCGTCGAGCCGCGCGTCCTTATGCTCGATCTTGACAGTCAGGAACCGGTCCGACCTTTTATAATCAGGTTTGTCTTCCTCTCCCCACGTCGTCTCAGCGCTGCCTTTATTTGCCAACCTCTCCGCCATTTTGATCAGCTTATCCAAGAGAATCGGGTCTTCTTTTCAATGATCAACTGTGTTCGCTTGAGCGGGAGCAGGTGCGTTTCCTCCCAGCTGAAGCAAATCCTCCTTGATCAAATTTCGTGTGTTGATCGCCATTCTCAATGTCTCGGCGGATCCACGCTCAAGCGCATCAAGATAGCGCCGACAGGCCTCCTTATTCAAGATGATCGCGGGCGCCTTGCTAAGCTTGGCGACTAGCGTGCGATAACACATCCCGAAGCGCTTCAACCGTCCTTCCTCGCTGCGCTTAATAGTCTTATACTCCGCGCACAACCGCTCTAACTCCTCGAGCATCCCATCTAGGTCCTCCTTTACTTCCAGATACGCCTTCAAGACCGCCTTCTTGAAGTCTGCATACGTCATCCCTGCTGCGTACTCCAACAGCACCCTCCAAATTTCGCGCTTCTTGGCCAGGAGGTAGCTGGTAAGCAATCTCTTCATCTCCTGCTCGTCCGTAATCTGAGCCAGGTTGATAATATCGTTGACCTGCTCGATAAAATCCTGCAGATCTTCTTTGTCCTCCGTTGCGAACTTCGGGACGTTCGACTCCCAAGGTCGCGGTACTTTGAAACTTGCTACACCGGTTCCAGCCGGTGCTTGCGGTACATTTGCCATTGTTGTTATTTCTGGTGTGATGGGCCTGAGAATAAATTCTAGATCCAATGAATCTTCTTCGATGAATGATGGTTCAACATCGAAAAGAGACTCGTCGCCTTAAGGTAACTCGTCTGGTGAATGTTCTTCTTTGTCGCTGATGCTCCTGGCGTCGCCTGCGATGCCTGAAATATCCTGCTCCGTTTTTCCTTGTGGTGGGCTCCAGATGAAAGGTAAGAAATGCGCGCGCTGATGAAAAACCTTTATCCAAAGGTTTTAACCAACACAAACACAAGGCTTGATATTCGGTGTTGTTCGGGGGTTCGTGTGGCAGGAAACCACGAGTGCGAAGTTGGAATGGGGTAGAAAGTATAAAATTTGAGAGTCAAAGCAAGCAAATGAACAAGTCCAAAATCCAAACAACAAATCCAACTCTGAGCCCAAAATCCGTAAATCTGTTCCAAATCTGTAAAGTCCCGTCCTATTCCGTAATCCCAATGTAATTTCCTTCAAATCCGATAAAGCGAGCGAGTCAGAAAAGTGTGATCACAAGTAAAACTTGGGCAGGGGTGCATTATTCTTTCTAGTACATTTCCGCGGCCCTTATATACCCCTAATGTTTGTCTTTACCAAATAACACATCATACATAAATACATAACTTGAAACTTGTTCCGTTGTCAAGTCTCATCCATTCCGCAGCCCCAAACACCTTTCTCTTCCGATAGTTGCACTGAAACTCTTCATTTCCCAGTTTCCATGCCCATTTCCCTAGTTTCGGGAGCTACCATAGCACCCAAACACCTCCTAACGCCACCCTGCTATTCGTCGATGTGTTTGAGATCCGGAACTATGCAACGGACACATCTGGAACGTGTCTGATGCTGCTGCGGTAGCTGTTGGAATCACGTGATCGTTTAATTTCTGTGCGAGCCATGGTTCGGTCATTCGTGTACGTATCACTTTGATCGTTTTAATTTCCGCGCGAGCCATGGTTCAGTTATTCATGTACGCGTCACTTTTGTATGCTTATCCTTTGTGTCTGGACACATCATTTGTACGTATTTATCTTCTGAAGCATTTTCCTTGGCTTCCCTGTCCATTTTATTCGGATTAATGCTTGGATGGTGTGTCTTTATTACATCTTTTTCTGTCCTTATTGTGCATTTTTGACGACTTTTCCACCATGCAAAATTCCCCCCGCTCTACAATGTCCTCAAGTCAAAGTCTACATTAAAGGGTGATTGCTTGGCAGCGCTGTTGGCAGCGGTGGATTGCTTTAATTCCTCCCAGGCTTCCCAACTTGCCAACTAATTTAATTCCTAATATAATTGCTTCATGGCTTTCAACAATTCTCCCAGTTAACGGCAAATTTTGCGACCACAATTGACCAGTATAGTAGCAAAGTAGCAATCATTACAGACATTTCCAAGGACAAAAAATTATAGCTTTCTGGGAGGCAGTCTGGGAACTCGGGGAGAGTGGGATGCAGCAAACAGTTGAGATGTGGTCGAACCAAGGTAAAACATTGTGGGTCAACCAAATTTGATGACTTCTTGATTGAGCATGCACGTGATCATCACGGATCAGTACATCTGATTGCCACCACCACTTGTTGACGCCCTTTGCTGTGGCATTGGAAATAGCTTGCAACAGTTTCAGCTGAAGGTAGGAAGGGAGAATGAGCAGGGCACCGTTGAGGATGGCATCTGAGAATCCTGTCCCTGACCACCTGCTTGGTGAGGCTGACGACGGTGATGGAGCCACCAACTAAGTCACAATAGCTCTGGTATATCTTGCCCTTGGCATATCTGTTGATGTTTCCATAGGGAACACCTTGGTCAGAAAAAGGGAGACCGCCAGGGCCATAACCAGGCCAGTTTGCCCAGGGACGCAACTTGATCTGAACAGGGGCAGAGAGAGGGAAAAATGAAGAAGCTGCCAGGATCACAGCAGGTGGTGCCAAGTAGGAGATAGAGGCAAGAAATGCCTTGCAATTGATGTAAACATCCACGTTCTTAGGTGTCTGTCTGTTATATCCATGCACTTGGGCTTGGATACCCCCAGTCACAATTTGGTCACACTCTGCTTCTGGTCCTCCAAGACCTCTGGAGTTCTGTTGAATCTCGGGTTTTCACGCAATGAAGAATTACTGAGCACTTCCTGTCTTCACTTCATCCTCCATCTTCCCTTCTGCACTTTGGACTCCGGACCTCCGGTCGAGTCACCCGCAAAAACCCACTATAGAGATAGCGGGCATATTGATTTCAACTCATATTGGGGCTTCTGAGGGTCAAACAAATTGGCTAAAAGATGACAAAAATCATAATTATACATAGGAACATTGTAATGACAGAGGAAAATCACAACCAGCCATATTAAAGGAATATTCAAATATTTATGGGTACCATATATGGACTCAGGATATTGTAAGGATATATTCTGGATATTAGCTAATATACACTGGGGACAATAAGCAATATACGGGGCCTGTATATCCTTAGTATATCCTCAGTATTTTACAAAAATCCCCAGAATATACAGTCGACTTTTTCATAATGCATAAGGTGATAATGCATATTTTTCATTATGCATAGGATTTGGTCCGGAACCACGTCGGGAGGCGGGGATATGCATTATTTTATGCATTCTGATAATGCATAGCTTTGTGAGCCACATTTCACCCACATATGCATTATGAGATGACCAAATTTGGGTGACAATGGGTGGCCGGTCTCCCAAAATTGCTAAATCTGGCTGCATTTAGTCATAGTCTGTTGTGTAATTCATGCCCATCTGTATCCTGGCACAAGGCCTACTGAAAAAGGTGAGGTGAATAGCAAAAATTGTCACACTTTGGAGCAGAGGTCACGAAATTACATGGTGTCACGCTATGGGTGACAATTTCATCTTGCATATCTGCCATAATGCATAGATTTAGGGTGGGTCCCAACTTTATGCATTATGAAAAAGTCAACTGTACCCCCAATATACAGGGTCTGTATATGCTCAGTATTTTTGAAACATACTGAGGATATCCTCACAATATCCCGAGGTCTGATGGCTACCATATATGAACTCGGGATATGCTCAGTATTTGGAAACACAACATGTACAAACAATGTCCAAAAATAGAAATAAAAGACCTTCCTTGTAAGGAAAAGGCTCAGCTGAGGTGAAATTGGGAACTTGATACTAAGGTTAGGGTTTCCTTATAAGGTATATCTTATCTTATCTATTTCCTTATAAGGAAACCCTAACCCTAACTTTAATTTTCTTAATTGCCCTCAGCTGAGCCTCTCCTTACAAGGCAGGTCTTTTATTTCTATTTTGGACATTGTTTGTACATGTTGTATTACAAAATACTGAGCATATCCTGAGTCCATATATGGTAGCCATCAGACCTTGGGATATTGTAAGGATATCTTTAGTATGTTTCACAAATACTGAGCATATACAGACCCTGTATATTGGGGGTATATTCTGGGGATTTTTGTAAAATACTGAGGACATACTGAGGATATACAGGCCCCGTATATTGCTTATTGTCCCCAGTGATACTGAGCATATCCAGACCCTGGATATTCTGGGTATTTCCTTGGGATATATGTAATATCCTGAGCATATATGGCCCCTAGATATTGCTGGTACATGTTGGAGATATTTGTGAAATACTGAGGATATCCTGAGGATATACAGGGCCAGTATATCACTTATTGTCCCCAGTGTGGGTGTGGTGTGATGGATGTGATGCCAAGCTCTAGGCCAGGTTCAGTGACAGTGTGGTGCAGTGGGAGCATAGTCACTCAAGCCAAGCTGGAGCAGATGCTTCCAGCCCAATCAAACGGAACGGTATCCAAGATGGATTTGAGTAGAGTGAGACAAGTAAAGAATCAAGCAGGTGAGGGTATGGAGTAAGGGAGCTCGAGAGTGATCATAAGTAGTAAATGGCCTGCAAGTAGAGGGCAGGTTTACACAGCCGTCCACATTCCAACATGCATGCCACCAATGACAGTCACACTCAAATGATCCAAGGTCTCTTCTTGTATGCCGTCGAGAAGCTGGATGGAAGAATGTCAGCCACAACTCACTTTATTTGATACTCATGAATTGTTTGCCTTGAGTGGTGGTATAGTATATGATCTGGAATGGATCCCTCAACATTGGCCCAATGGTCTAGACATATGATATATGCTTCAGGTCTTTCCGGGATTTCGTAATCCTGCTTACGTGTGTGGTCCCAGGTTCAATTCCCGGTTGGGCCCAATTCTTTTACTTTTGGCTCTGTTGCGCCCCCGTGCCCTTCTGGAAGCCTCACCATCGTCTGCCCTTATCTACAGATTGTTTTGGTGCCTTTACAAGCAGTAATTGCGAGAGGAGCGTCACACAAGATGGGGCTCTGATGCCTTCACCACTCTCTTCACCGAGATCATGCTGTCTCTGTTCGGGTTGAGTTGAATTGGTGGTTCAATGTAGGCTAGGGCAGATGGCTACACGCTGCAGGAGGAGGCGCCGATGCAGTTTTGATTTTTGTAATTCAGGGTCAACAACCAGCGGGTGTACCTGCAGGTGCACTGTAATGAGGGTAGTAGTTTATCTTTAACAATCACCTGAATTAAACTAATCCAAGATCTATTAGATTAGAACTCAGGAATGTTAATGGTAGGTGGATGTCAGATGACATCCGGCAGACCACAGCACTCTGTTATATACTATACAGCACAGCACGTGATGTAAGGATGTTGTAAGGAACGTAAATAAGTAACCCAAATAGAGGGCTAGACAGAATGTAACCTCGTTACACCCCTGCTGTAAGGATGTTGTAATGAACGTAAATAGTTAACCCAAATAGAGGGCTAAGCGGAATGTAACCCCGTTACATGCACCTATGGGTACACCTGTGGGTGCACCCTGGGGTTGTTCAGAAATATGCTGTTTCTGCAATGCTTTCCTAAATTTAGGAAAGTTTTTGTTTCCATATAGCTGAAAGCACCACCGAAAGAATTCCCTTTGGCGCAGCTTTCAGCTATATGGGAAAGACCTTCTTTTTTTCTCACCCGAAATGGCTGCTGAAAGGCCCTCTTTCAATAGTCCTTTTGTATGGTCAGGACAATGCATGATTTGGTGTCTTTGGAAACGGTTATAGATGTAGCCACTTTGGTAACAGTTTTGTACCAAACTGTTAAGGCGACCTCGGCCCTTTACTTACTAGTCGCACAGTGTTAACCAGCACAGAGTATATTGTGTGGTTATTCGTGTGTGTAGTACAACGTAGTAGTAGAAAGATAAGGTCTGAGTTCTCACTGGGTGACAACTCAATCCTTAAATAACGCCACCTACAGCGGTTGTTACTAATAAGTAAATACTGTTATATCCCGTGCCGATGAAGGGGGCTATCACCGATGGTCTCCGGTTGGAATATCGGAGGTCGGAGATATCAGAGGTGAGCGCAAACACCACAGGAAGGTCAGGGTGTGCGTACTATCCTAGGCCGATGGATAAGACGGAGGATAACGAAGTCCGAAGGGACACCGGAGGAAGACTCGGTAGCAAAGCAAGGAGCAAAGCAATGTTTATAATCAAACTGAAGTACATGAGGATATTAAAGCGTATTTATACTAAGTCCGTTATTGTTAACCCAAATATGGTAGATCAAAACATAACAATAAGCGAGAGTCCAAATTTGGTTGAAGAAGTAAGATGACTAAGCAAAACAATAAACGAGAAGTCAAGAAGGAAACGGAAAAACGGATAAACGGGAAATGCTCAGTAAACCTTCATTGCGTAAAAACCCGATGATCTTCCATCTCCGACCTCCGAACATTTGGATGTCGGAGGTCGGAGGCCGGAAGTCAGAGACGGACCGAAGTCTGTGTGCACGAATATAACAGTATCCCCCTCCTGCGTTCCTTGCCCTCAAGGAACACAAGGGAGCCCTGCCAGTGTGCATCAAATAAGGGTCGGCGGATGTGCCGAAGGCCGAGGGAATCCGCCAAAGTCCGATGACGTGTGATGACGTGTGTCCACGGTTCCGAGTGAGTCAGATCAAAAAATCACGTGCTGTTGACTTTTGCCGCAGCAACCATCAACAACTCTTGTCTCCGCTCCCCCACCTCCGCCCTCCACTCTCCGCACTCCGAACTCCGACATGCCACCTTTCGCCGGAGACTATCGCAAGGGCAACGGCCCCAACAAGGACGGCAACCGCAAGGGCAAGGGCCGCGCCACGTCGGCGGAGGTCGAGGCGGACCAACAACAGCGTCGGAGAGAGCGCGAGGCCGCTCGGAAGGAGGCAGAGCTCCAGGAGCTCAAGGAGATGATGGAGGAGGCAGAGAAGAGGAAATTGGTGGCGGAGGCAGAGCTGGCGGAGGCGGCGGCGAGGCTCGCCGCCGCTGCTAGGATCAATCGGAGGGAGGTGGACGACGAACTGGACGCGCTCGACGCACAGCGGGGGGAGTCAGCGAGCAAGGATGGGAGCATTGGCTCTCCGAACGACGAGGACGACAGCGACAAGGAAATGTCGGAGGTGAAGGTGTGCCGCAGTTATCGGAGGTGGATTTTTTCTAACCGGAGGTGATTTAGTGTGCGAACGATGCCGGGAAAAGCGCGTCCCATGCGTCATGGAACCGGGCGCCAATCACGCCTGCAACAGGTGTCGGGACAAGAAACAAAAGTGCTCGATAGTCAAGGTTCCCAATCCCCGACCCAACAAGCGTCGTGCCGAGCAGGTTCGGAGCTCAGAAGTGCTCGGAGTCGCAGGCCCAAGTCGGCCGAAGAAGAAACAGCGCGTCCATCGCCGCCAAGCGTGATCCTACGCCGAGTCGAACGACTCGGACGTGGAGATCCTCCCGGAGTCCGTTGGAGGTCCGATGCGCACGACGCGCATCGATGACCTCCGCGTATCTTTGCGGAGGATGGACCAACAGTTGGAAGCAGTTCAGAGGGACGCGGAGCAGGGTCGGAGACAGCTATACGCCATGCACTGGGCGGTGACTGGGTTGTTCACCGGCGCGAGGGAGCAATTCCCCTCGCGCGCCGAATGGCCTCAGTGGCTCTCCGATGCCGAGCAGGCGCTAGAGTTTGATCGAGAGTCCGCGGAGAAGGAGAAGAAGAAGAAGGCTCCGATCCGTGGAGACTCCGAGAGTTCGGAAGAGTCCGAACTGAAGAGGAAGAGATTGGTGAAGAGGTCGAAGACGCTGGAGGAATTCGGAGGAAGTCTGGCGAGGTTGAGCTCGCAGGACCTCGACGACGACACCTGGGGTCTCGGAGAGGCGTATCGGTTGAAGTCAATGACGCCGATAGCGCCGGAGGCCGTGGCGACCACGCCGGAGGATGTGCCGACCCCACCGGAGGCCTTGGCACCTATGCCGGAGGCCTTGGTTGGCTATTCGTCAAGCTCCGAGAGCGGCGGAGAGAAGTCGGAGGAGTCGGAGGTCGGGGAGAAGTTGGAGTCGGAGGGGAACGGGAAAACCCCGGAGGAAGAGGAAATGGACGCCGACCCCGACGCAGAAGGGAGGCTGATATGGATGTCGACTCGGACAAGGATTCGATCCCGCCGATCGCGACGGTATAGGGGGGAATGAAATGAGTCATATGTATATATAATTTTCTTGAGACTCAACAAATATTTTCTTGGATTTTTTGTGAATTTAAGTTGAAATTCGGAGGAACTCCGAAAATGATCGGAGGATCGCGGAGCGAAAGGAGGACGTTAAACGTCAGGTCCGGGCTTGTTGGGGAAGCGACGATGGAAATTGTCGATATGCTCCGGAGCGTCAACATCGTCCTTGCTGACCCAACTGAATTGCTCATCGGGTTTTTCGTAGCCTTCCCACCCGACGAGGTATCGGAGTCGAGTCCGAAACCGTCGGTCGATCTTCGAGTCAACGATTTGCTTGATCTCGAAGTGTTCCTCACCGTCGATGATTTCGACGGCCGCCGGAGGCGGTTCCTCACAACCGGGGAAAGGATTTGGAAAGTGAGGTTCGAGTTGGGAAATGTGGAAGACCGGATGAACTTGTTGGAGAGATTTCGGAAGACAGATGGTGTAGGAAGCCGCAGACGGCTTAGCGATGACTTCGTAAGGTCCGAGGTGAGTCTCCGAAAACTTCGGAGTCAGACGTTTCGTCTGGAGGTACTTGGTCGAAATGAACGCAAAGTCGCTGATTTGCATCCGAGGGTCCGGGAATGCGTTTTCGGTCAGCGGTCTCTTTATAACGCTCCGAAGCATAAGTGATTTGCTCACGGAGATACTGATGGAGATCCTGAAGGTCGACTGCGTAATCTTTGGCGACATGTTCGCGACGTCGCGCTCCGGGTGGACAGTGATGGCCGGATGGTAGCCTTTGTTCACGAAGAATGGAGAAACTCCGTAGATGCGTTTGGAGAGTTGTTCAAGGCAAATTCGGCGAGAGGAAGAAGCGGGTGCCAGTCGTCCTGCTGGTAAGCGCAATAGATCCGGATGTACTGTTCCACGGTCTGGTTCATGCGTTCCGTTTGTCCGTCGGCCTCCGGATGATAACCGGAGGTGAAATGAAGCTCCATATTGAGCAGTTGGCCCAACGATCGGGAAGAAGGAGGAAACAAATTCGGAGCCCCGATCGCAAGTGACATGGAAGGGGACACCGTGTTTGGGAAGATGTGAATAAGGAAAAGCCGAGCAAGTTCCGGAGAGTCGATGTGCTGATCACAGGGCACGAGGATGACCTGCTTTGAAGACTGATCAACAATGACGAGAATGGCGTCATAAATGCCAGAAAGGGGAAGTTGCTCAATGAAGTCGATGGAAATAGAATGCCAGGGCCGATCGGCCACTGGAAGGGGTTTCAGCAGTCCGTAAGGTCCCGGAGTGACGCGGTGAGCTGTTCGTGGGTGAAAATGGGTCGAAAATTATGAGGATTGACATGACCGTAAGTCTTATCCCCCTCTTTTGGGTAGACGTCCCATCGTCTAGTTAACCGTCGGGCTTGCCTCCGAGTTTACCCGGACGGAACCGGATTACCATATTAAAATGGCAGAGGTATTCGGACCATCGAACTTGGCGACGAGTGAGGATTTTCGAAGTCGCAAAGTATTCGAGGTTCTTGTGGTCCGTTACGACGTCGACCGGAGTGCCAGAACCCTCGAGATAGTGACGCCAAGTGGTGAAGGCATCAAAGATCGCGAGTAACTCCTTGTCGTGGGTGTCGTAGTTGAGCTCCGAAGGTCCGAGAGTACGGGATCGGAACGCAACGGGGTGAATATCGCCGTCATCCCCGGTGATCGA